AAAACTACATTTTATCCCCTCTAGGACAACTTCTCCTTTGTACGCATGAGGGTTATTTTACGAGCGACAACAAGAATGACTATAGGGGCACCTTCTAAAACATTTTCCGAACATGCTGAGCGGTGGCGACACCCACATTATGATCCATTTGTGATGGTGGACATTTCTCTCCAATTGTATTGGAACATTTGGATATTTTTTATGCGATTGAGATTAGTGCTCTATGTCTCTAATTTTCTATTAAAATTGAACCTGTGTTTATTAATAGGGATCTCAATCACGATAATGCATGAATATTTTAATTGAATTTTTGTTATTGAAATTTAAATTGTGGCTTTTGTTCCTTTTGAATTTAGTAATTGTTTTTGTTTTTAATTTTGAAATCAACTTTTAAATTTAAATTTAGTTTTATATAATTTTAAGATGTGTTTCTGTATTTAGGAATAACTAAATTATTTAGTCATTATTTTCTCATTCAAAATTTTAGTTGATGATGATTAAATTTGTAACCTAGGATAGTTATGGACCATAATTGGTGATGATTAAATTTATAATCTAGGTAATTATGGACTAGAGTTGGATTAATACATGTTGGGTTAGTTAAAAGTGTAAAAAGGGAGTTGAGGAGTTCTTATAATTTGCTCGTCAAAATGGAAAATCTATCAAAAGGATATATTATTGTTCATGTGTACATTGTTTAAATCTAATACATCAGAAACTTGGGAATCCACATGATTACCTTTTTTATTTTTGTATTGTTAAGAGTTATACAATATGTACATTGCACAAATAAATATTAGACATACCAACTATGTCAACAACAATTTTTTTTGAAGAAGGGATGAACGATGATTTAGAGGAGATTATACGTGACAATGACGAAGAAAATTTTAGAATAGCATATATGTATGATTATTTAAAGTCTAAATTTGATTACAATTGTATTTAGGATGTACTAACTTCACCCAATTATCAACAACTTTAAAATTATTTAATTTAAAAACAAGAAATGGATGGAATGGTAGAAGTTTCACATAATTGTTGAGGTTGTTGAAGGAGATGCTTTCAGAAGATAACACATTGCCTAATTGCAAGTATGAGATGAAGAGAATACTATGTTTAATGGGTTTGGAGTATAAGAAGATACACACATGCCTAAATGATTGCATATTATACATCAATTATTTTATTATATCAAAGGTGTGTCCAACATGTGAGTTGTTGCAATTAAAAAACAAAGCTAAAGGAACTAATAGTGAGGAAGAAATACATAACCCCCTTTCTAAGATGTTATGGTACTTACAAATAACAGCTAGGTTTAAAAGATTGTTTGTCATTAAAGATGATGCAAAAAAACTATCATGGCATGCAAATAGTAGAAAATGTGACAAGCTTCTTCAACATACAATTGATTCTTCACAATCAAAGAGGATTAATGAAACATTTCCAAATTTTTGTACGAAGTTAATAAACTTAAGAATTGGACTAGCTACAGATGACATGAATCCTTATGGAAACTTAATTAGTAAACATAAAACACATGACCAATTTTGGTTGTCACTTACAATTTATCTTCTTGGTTATGCACGAAGAGAAAATATATTATGTTTTCTATAATGATTTTAGGACCCCCAATAACCAGGAAATGTGATAGATGTGTATCTATGTCTTTTAATTGATGAATTGAAGATGTTATGATAAATAGGAGTGGAGGTGTTTGATGCATACCATAAAGACAATTTTAAATTGTGTGTAAAGTTATGTTGCATAATTAATGATTTTCTAGCATTTGATAACTTGAAAGGTTATAGTGTGAAGGGTCATTATGTATGTATTATATGTGAAGAAAACACAAGTTATACCTAATAAAAATATAGGCAAAAAACTATGTACACTTGGTATCACAAGTTCCTAACTTGTAATCCTTCATGTTGTAGAGTGAAGAAAATATTTTAATGGATATCAAGAGAATGAAGTTGCATTGACACTGCATAATGATGAACAAGTATGTGAATGGGTGAAGAACATTAACATTGTGTTTGGAAAGACGCAAAAGAAGTCCACTGAAAAAAAACATTTAGAAGAAATCGTCAATATTCTTTAATTAGTTTAAGCTAAATGTTAGATATTGTATAAATATGATTCATATATAAAAATATTTATTGTTCCACATAAAAGAAAAGATAAAAGATGAAGTAAAAACATGAGTAAAACAGGGAATGTGGGTATATATATTCGCAATTTATTGAAAAAAATGTACTTACTTGCCTTCAGTTTTTATACTTTATCAAAGAAATAAAAGATTTTTTTTTTAATATTTATGTAATGTGGAAGTATTGTTAAAAGTCTAGTATCTAACTAAGATTTTAAATTAGTTGATTTAAAATCTCACAATTATCATGTGTTTGTATAACAACTTTTATTTGTGATTATTAAAAATATTTTACCAAATTTTGTTAGAATTGTTATTATTTAGTAAATGACATTTGAAATAAAGTAAATAACTCTTAAAAATAAGATGAGTTGAAAAATAAAATAATAACAACTGTGTGTCAGTTAGAAAAAAATAATGAATTATTTTTTTCTTATAAATGATTATTGAGAAAAATTAAAGATTTATCCATATGCTATATCTATTTTCTCCAAATAAAATAGTAAATTATAAATATTAAAAAAATAAATTACTCTTACTTTACAATTTCTTTTTGCACTTTCTTTTTTCAACCAAAGAAACTATTTCACAATTAGTTATATACTTTTTTAACTTCATATACTATAAAAAATGTTTTGGAAATCAGATTAGTAATTTATTCAAAGAAAAATGTTAAAAGTATAATATGTGAAAAAGAAGAGAGATGAGAAAAAAATGTTCAATATTATAATTTTTTATTTATTGATATAAATAATATGATAAAAGGAAAGAAGACAGTCGATAAAATTAAAAAAAATGAAAATTGAGTTAGAAAATAATATATGATAATAATTGATTTTTCTCTACCCTAATCTTCTTTGTTATCATCACCTTTCAACTTTATCTCATATTAAATTATTTAATTTTATAGTTAAAAATTATGAGATATATTTGCAATCATGTTTTGATAAGTTATATGGTAAATAAAATATAATGTACTCGTAAAACAATATTCAAAGACGTATTTATACATGTTTAATTATTAATTAACTATAAACATAAAATAATATATTTAAATATGATAAATAATTCAGTTTAATTTGGTTTGATTCTTGATTTTCAATCTAAAATTTGAACAATAATGTAAAAAGGCAAATCCAAAAAATATATATATATTGTTTTTTTAATTTTTTTATATAGGTTTGATTTTTAAAATACTTATCTTTATTGTTATTACCATATCACTCTTTGTGTATTAATTATAATTTCTATTATCATTATCACCCTCACTTATCACATTAGATAGGATTAAAATTTATCCTATTTTATATAATTTTATGTTTGCACTACTAAATAAAACTTTAAAGAGAGTTTCAAAAAACAAATATTCACTCTTATATACAATAATTTATAAATCATATAATACTAAAAATTTTAATTTATTGAATAAAATTTTTGAAAGACCAAACTTTTAACATTGAGAAGCAAATAAGAAAGAAATATTAACATTTTCTATCTCAATCTTAAACATTTAACAATTTTTTATTAATTTAGCATTCATAATTCTTTAAAATATTTGAAAATTACCTTTTATCACAACGTAATAAATATATGGCATGCATTTCACTATTTCATAACAATTATTTTGAAGTGGAAACGGTGTGATAAATAACTAACTATAGAGTTTGACACAAATAAGATAATATACAGTTAAATCATCCTGGCTTATCCAAGTTTAATCTGTAATAAAAAAAAATTGACCAATTATTGGTCAAATTATACTCACTTCTCGACTGAACTAAATTAGTATGAAACGAAATGTTAGGGACGCTAATAAATCACATACAACGATAATATTCATAATGTGATCACTAAAAACTTATAGAAAGGAATTACATAACTTCAAAATTTACAAGAAAGATAGGGTGAATGAATAATAAAATATTTGGTGAGAATTGATTAAGATTGACTCTCTATGCAACGCATTTACTCAAAAAAAATTGAATGAATATAAACAAGGTAAAATTGTGGTGCAAATTCAAATTGCCATTCATGAAAATGACTTGATTTGTTAGCTTTGGTTGTCAGCAGCCAGAGCCGGCCGCAATCGCTTATGAATAACCATACCGAGAACATATCCATTCACATATGAAGGAATAGGAGAATATGGTCATCATTTGGATAGATGCCCATACCGAGAACATATCCATTCACATATGAATAACCATAAATAATATTTTATCTGTTAACTTTTTTAGATTCCCCCAAAAGAAATTTAATTACGCATCTAATTACAAAGAAAAGACAAACTCACCAATTTGCCTTACATTGCGTAAATAAACAATGTGCTTGCATTAAATTTCTGTGGCGCAAAGCTTTTTTGCTTTGACAATAATAGTTCAAAATAATAAAGCCGCAATTGTTTACCAGAAGAAAACATAGACCTTACATTTCTTTCAACATGTTACTTAAAAGAAATGAAATAGAGAAAAATAAACATTTTTTTTATAATACGAAAAAAAAAATGTTAAGATCCAACGACAAAAAATATAGTTTGTGTACTGACAATCTTGTGTATTCTCGCTATGTTTCTATATAGCTTGAGTTGACAAAACTAGTCATATGTCCAACCGTCGACCGGGAAGGACAGTAATGAAAAATGGTGCTTCAAAGATTTTAGGCTTTATTTTTTGTGGATTGTTTTATTTTTATTATTTTTTGTTTCCCCTTTTTCTGGCTTGAACTCTCTAGCTAGCAGTGTAACTTGAAGCTGAAACACAAGCGAGATATTTATGGTTATTTTTGAAAATTGTTCAAAAGGCCGGTATTCTCTCTGGTCTGAATAGAGTTGCCTGGAGGAAGAAGGCATTTAGCGATGGTCCCCCACCTCATAAAGAAGCAAAAACTCTGGTCTGACAAGTGCCCTAATGGACCTGCCTCCCGCGGCATAGCTTAGGTTTGAGGGGTCGAAACCTTACATTCCCCTCCCCGCAAACACCTTAACACCTGTACCCGTAGGCCCCGGAAAACAGACACTTTCTCATTGACAGCACATTTTTCTGACGGTACAATAAAACAGGGATAGCATACGAATATGAATAGTAACATCTATTGTCCAATTCCTCATAGGTTTGGCCAGCTCCACTCATGTTGTGATTGCTATCAATTTTGAATGAAACTGCTCTGTTACCAATTTAGTAACTTGTCAACTTGACAACTGTAATATCACTTTTGCCACCTATTGGCATTTTCATTGAGCAACGCATCCTCGTTGTTACAAAGCTGCAGGGTGGCTCACAAATCATAATAATAAAGTTTTTTTTTCTTCTCTCCTTTTCATTTTGATATGATGGGTCGGTATATGTCGCCATCATCCAACAACGAAACTAATGACTATTATAAAGACGAAGAAAAGGAATTTCCTCTTTATGCGTTTTATCCATTCTAAACATTTCGTTTCCTTTTAGGTTTGTTTCATTCTCCCACATAAAAACTAAGTAACATTAGTGTCGCCATGTGAATATGATATAACTGCCATTCCGAAAACGGCAACAAGTAATACTGGTGTAAACCAATCCGGGTCCCAAATCCCACTGGCATTATTGACCGATGTTTTATACAACAATTGAAGGAATGAATAAGACAATGTACTAAACAACGGAAAATAAAAAAATACTCTTCCGTTTCTCCCATATCTGAGATGGATGCCTATAATCTCAAGACTTGAGAGCAAACCATGACTTTTGATTCCCAACAATTTTGAGAAAACAGCAACATTTTTTTGCTAGTTAACTAAAAATAGCATTTAGTTGAGAGATGATTTGTCAAAACATGGGGCATTATAGTTTAAGCAAAAAGGTAGCAATCAGCGGTCAAATCTCCGTATACACGAATCAGTTCCTGAGTTATACAAAGAATTTTGAACGCAAACACTTTTTATGGTTTGCCTTTAATCAGTAGTACAAGATCGGCTATGGTGGTGCCTGAGGGGGCTTAACCTGGTAATAATATTCGGATGCATTGCTGGAAGGCGCGCTGGATGAAGGAAAAGAGAGACTCTGGGGAATGGAGTTCATAGATCTTGTTGGAAAGGTAGCTGAAATTGAGAATCCTGATGATGCTGCAGAAGAGAAAGTTGGTCCTGGGATAGAATTGAGCTGGCCATGGGTTTGCCACGTCCAATTGGGGAGTCCTTTTGAATGATCCATCAGTCTCTCTGCTCTTTCCTGCTAAATTATTAACAATCTTTTAGTCTTACAGAGTCACATACAAAACTGCATGCCACCATTATAACGGCTTACACTCGAGATCAATGTACAAATCATGTTACAAGAATAAAATGAATTTAACGGAACATCAAGTGAAAACCACACAATGCTGTGATGGTCTTTGTTTTCAAACTCAAGACATACTCCATGCATGCTTATCTTACTTTATGGATATATTGACCGGGCATTACCGAGCGGAAAAAGGAAAACAAAACAATGCATTATTACAAAGATTGACCGTCCCAAGTAATGTTTTTCAGACATATTTTGGACCAATTCATTTTTTTAAAAGAATAAGTAACATCGAACGATTATATATATATATATATATATATATATATATATATATATATATATATATATATAATACCGAGAATTCCCTTGAGTCTCCAATAACAAAAAATACACCAAAAGCTCATAGAAATTGATCAGTAAATCCTGAACTTAAGAACCAATTTTTGGCGTGAATTACCATATTTAAAAGTAAAGCATTCTTCCAATGAAATTGAAGACACTACTAGCAAGGAAACAATTGTAAATGTTTTAAAAGAAGTAATCAATAAAGAAAGCAATGAACACCAGATGGATTACCTCATGGGGAAAGAAATTGGGACACATGCCATTCCATACAGAAGGACGATCTTCACTTGCAACAAGTCTTTTCAAAGATGGATTACCAATTCCTGCGTTAACATTGGTTTCCATCTGCAAATAAAGAGAGAACCATGCTGATTATGATTATATCGCTAGAGTTAAAATAAAAAAAATAAATACCAAAGACATAAAGTTCTACAAAGATCAATGAAATCAAAGGAATATAAGATGCAATTAGCTATATGTGAACCTATAAAGGCAACAAAAAAGTTCTCCATCCGGACAAACATCGTCAATTGGTATCATGATATTAAGAGTTTTATTAAACTAAGAGCATCTCCAACCATAGAAATAAAAAAAAAAAAAAAGGTTCTTACACCGTGACATCCACATTAGAAAGTTCCAATGCTTTAGAGTTCTTACTTACAAGAACCGGCTCTACGAAACAGTGCTAAAGATTGCCTAAGTTCATTTGTTTTACTCCTTTCCCACTATACAAAGTATATTCAAATGCCATTAAGTTCAACTGTACGGAATTCAAGGTAGTCCTAACTTGAGAACATAAAAAGTTATCCACCTGCATTCCACATAATTTAGAAGAAACCTAAAATAAATAAATATGTAAGTTCAATTATACCATTGAACTTCTTCCATCACGCGTGTTGTAAGGGACAGAGGTGAACTGAAGTTGCTCCCAATTTTCTTTGGGACCAGGTCCTGGGGTTGCTATGCCCAAATTGAGATCAAGATTCTGATTGCCACCTGTGTTCAAAAAAATATAACCAGATTTCACAAAAAAAAAAAAAAAATCATTTAGAAATTCACTTGGAAATTAAAAATAAATAAATAATAGTAATATTTGCTATGAGAGTAACACCTTCATTAATGGCTGCAGATTTCATCTCTCCTTCATATGTACTTGGCTCAAAGTTCGTCACTGCTTCCCTTCCGTTGCATTTGATAGCTGCCTTGTCATAAGCCCTGATTTACAGAAAATCAAAAAGGGAGATACGTGTTGGATTGAACCAAATGAGTTTTGATAATTCAGTGTAATAAATTCAGTGCAGGTAGAAAGTAATTCATGTAACAATAGGACCTTGCAGCTTCTACTTCGCTGTCGAATAATCCAAGATATATATACCTGCATGAAAGCATCGCAATCTCTATAACCAAAATACCTTCCAATCGTTTCGTTGAAAACATGCATCTTACATCTTAGACATGTTTCTCCAAACATGCAAAAATGCGTAAAGATGCATTAAGATCTAAGCTGAAACCCATTCGTTTTGCAGGCAAATAGGTGTACTCAAATTCATAATATCTAGAATAATCGCATTAGATCACTACTCAGGTTAATATATAAAAGTATGTCCTCACTTTTTGCCAAGGAATTGTCCCATTCGAGCTTCCCACCGGCCACACTTGTGGAGTGTAACTCCTCGGTATTTAGAACTTCCTCTTGAGAAACCAGTACTTTGGCGGCGCAGTATATGTACGAATTCCTCCTTCGACAAATTCTTCATCTGTCCATAAGTAAGAAATGGTGAAAAACCAATCATATGCACCATCTAGTTTCATGTCCACCAAGTGCTCTTGAGTTTTCTAACCTGTTTAAGATCATCCTCATAATCACTCAGATTGAAATTGATGTCAGCATCAACTCCCCTGAACTTTATAGCAGCTCGATCATAGGCTCTAATATTGAAAACCCCAAGTCAGTAGACGAGCACAAGAATCTAATCCTCAAAAGTTCAAAAACAGTGGACCTTTTATTGAACCCAGATTTATGACAAAGAGAACCAAAATAAGCACACAAAACTCTACCTAGCAGCAGCATGAGCCGTGTCAAATCCACCTACAAGTTCAAATACCAATTCCGTCAAAAGATGCTTAAAATAGTAAACCATAGAATAAGAATTCAAATAGTATAAAAACTATGTACCCTAAAAACACCGAATTCATAAATTCATAAATTAAAAATTTCATACCCAAATAGACTTGTTTCCCGCAATCCCTACACCAAATAATTACAAAAATAGACCAAAGAACAAAAAAGTCAGATCCAATTCAACCATGAATTACCTAAACCAAGCTTCACACAAACTTATATTCCCTTCCCAGTAAAAAGGGAAGAAAACGCAACTAACACAACTGAAGCAAGCTTACTACATATCACCACAAAAATTTACTAACCAGATATGCGATTCCCATCTTCCCGTCCTTCTATAGAAGGTAACCCCTCTGTACTGCGAGCTTCGAGACCTTGGTCCTCTCCTACTCTTCTTCGCCGGTTGCTGAGTCTGAGTCTGAGGTTGCGGGTGGAGCATCTTTATCTCACTGTTCCCTCCCTCACGATCGAACGCGAGATCCACGAAACTATTCCTCCCTGAAAACGACGACGTAGCTACTTCTCCACTCATCGGAAACAGCTCCTTCGTTACAACGTCGTTCGTGCCTTCAACTTTAAGGATATCGAAATTGAAGGTGTACACGTCATCGGCGCGGGTGGAGCACGAGTCCTCGTCGCAACCACCGTTGCTCGACCCGTCCGCATTTACCACGGAGGAATTCGAAGTCCCTGACTCCGCCATTTGGTTCGGCGAACCTTCAGGAAACTTCTCTAACGGTAACGGCGAGTCTCCGTTACGAGCTAAATCGGTCCACTCCGCATTGAGATTAAGATCTAACATCGTTGTGCTTATATTTAGTTATACCGTTAACTAACTAAACAACCGAACTAACTCTTAAATTCCGCTTTTCTGTTTTATAATTCCTAAGGTTTTCTAACGTTAACCAAGGCTTATTCGACTACCCTTCCACGTCGCCGGCGACGGTGTTTCCGGCGAAGAAATGGATCCGATCGAAAACAACCGAATGTTAGCGAGCGCGAGCGATAAAGAGAGAGATTAAAAAGAAACGTTAAGAAGAAAACGGAATCTCTAATAGCCTAATAGTTTTCCGATTCGTTCAGTGCTAGGACGTCGGATAAATTTTCCGGCGACCGGCTAAGGGAGGAATAGTGAGAGGAAGGAATTGACTGAACGAGTGAAAAAGAGTGACGCGAACTCATTTCGGCGGCGTTGAGTTCATCGTCGCCGCCGGAGAAAGTGAAAGCGTCGCCGACTATTGGATTCCATGGAAGAGAGAGAGAAAGAGAGAGAGGTGCGAAGCGAAGAAACACTTTCTTTTACTGAGACTCGATGTAAGAGGGAAGGAATATATAAACATTTTCTCTCTCATGGTGAAGACCGGTTGGTTCGGTTACCGGTCCCCGATATAGCAAAAGGAAATAGATATTTTTCGCTACTCGTGCTCTGTGCAAGGGTCACCGTCTTGTTGAAGGAAACCATTCGGCTTCGTTGAGTTTTTTTCTTGATTTGGGTGTGAGGGTTGTTACGGGTGAACTAGATTATTCACTTGTCAAGTGGCTATGTGAGAGATGAAAAAGAAATAAAAAATAAAATCCAATTAATGCGGTAAATGATTATATGAATCTGAATGTATTTATTTGGCTTGTTTTGGGGATTTAAAAGTTTAAGGAACTATGTGAGCTGTTTGAACTTTCTTTAAGTGAAGGCTTAACTTTATTTCATTCATTTTTCAATTAGGTCATATTTTTAAAAACTGATTTACTTTAATTTAAACAATGGGTGTGCCACTTTAAATAAATTTAAAATTCATTATATTAGACCTAAACTTGTACATCTATTCGATAGAAAGGAAAAAAAATTAAGAAAAGAAAAAATGTAATAAAGTACAAATTATTTTATTTATTTAAAAGAAAAATAACATAAAAAAGAAATAAAATTGTTTATTTTTAAAAAATAATAAATAATTAAATTAAAATTAAATATTTATTTAATTATAAAATTATTTATCTAATTATTAATATGTTTTATTAATAAATAATTTTTAAAGTAATGATTTTAAATTATATATATATTAATAATATATACTTTAATATATAATTATAAAATATTTTTTAATAATTTAAAATGAAATTAATAAAATAATATCATATTATAAATAACAAATATATTAAATTATTCATTTTATTTTTATAATCAATTTTATTAAAATTAATATATATATATATATATATATTAAATTATAAACATAAAAATAAATAATCATTTATTAAAATAAGGATAATTTTGTAAAATAACATTTTTTATATATTTTTTTATCAAATAGAGAGAAAATTAAACATGTTCGTTATTAATAGACGGTGACATTTTTTTCTGTCACTTTCCTTATTACCCGATGAGAGAAAAAAATTGTTATTTTTCACTCATTTACCAATATTTATAACTCTTCACCCTACACCTTAATAATATCAAAATTATTTAATATCTGCACAAAATCTTAAAATTATACAATGTATAAACCATCAACAAAATTTTGTAAAATAAAATCATCTTTACAAGAACTTTAAAAAATATAAGAAAATAAAAATCAACAAAATAAAACTATTCTGTTAGACTCCCTTTTTAACACCTCCATAATTTATTTTTTATATAAATACACAATCATTATAATTAAATACATAATATATAGGATATAGGATATGTTAATAATTCAATTTTAATCATAAGAATTATATATCTCATATCTATACCTTCATAGATAAAATTATTCACCACACAATCTTATCTCATGAATTTATACTCACGCCTATATAAATTCATGATTATATTAATTCAAAAATTTAATGAATTTTGAAAATTAGCATCTAATTCAAACTCAAAAATTTGCAGATGCGGCTTCCTCAAATCTTTAATGCAAAAGTATTTAAGTTGATATACATGATAAGGTAAATTCATATAACTAATTAGACGCATTTCTTTTTCACATTATAAATTAAGTAGCAAAAACACGATTTAACTCTGAGTACCAAATCTTTTTGTGTATATGATTCTAGTAATTATTAAAGTTTATATATCTACTATTGAGTATATAATATAATGTCAACACATATTCATTTAGGAATATCTCTCTAATACTTATTATACTATAATATATCATACCTACTTTCATATAGAGTCTTAACATTCCACTCCACCTTACATACATAGATTACCTCTTAAACAATTATTATACATTTAAATGCAAGTTAATGAAATCATATTTATCCTATAAAGTTACTCATAATTCATATTTTTCATTAGAAATTATTCCTTAAGCGACATCTTTCTAGAATATTTTTTCTTAAGCAAAATTATTGTGCTTTAACAAGACATCTCTTTACTTAAACAAATTCCCAATAAGTCAAGTCTCCTCTATTAGGAGTCTCTCACTTGAGACAAAATGAGGCTGAGATAAATTTTTTTTTTAGGAATTTCGTCGTTTAAGTGATCAAATATTCACTTGAACCAAAAAAAACTATAGAGAATAAATCCTCAAACTTTAATGCATTTTTTGTTGAGTAATGAGATATTTCTTAAGTGAATTATGAAAATATTAGAATGTTTACATAAGGTTCAAACTAGAGTTAAAAACACACAAAACAATCTTAATAAGTTTTTGTTATCATTTTCTCCAAAATTGTGTTATAATTAGATTAGCCCATCTTTTTTCTTCGAAGGGCACATGCATAAATTATATTTCAAAATAACACATTTAAAACAAATTTACATTACACTTTAAATACTTAGGTTTTCATACAAATCCTAAATTATTTAAATATGCACACTTCAATTACCAATTGGGCAAGCAGACATTGGGGCAACATTACTTTCACATGTCAAGGTCATCGGCATAAATTGATAAATAATTTGTCTTATCTATATATTACCTTACTAATCAAAGTTTTCAAATTCTCTTAATATATACAAAAAGTTAAATCCTTCTCATTAAAAACTCAAATCAACAAATTGAATATACTATTATATTCTTTAATTACGCAATATTCATTTTAGTACAACAAATCTCAAATCAATAAATTGAATATACTATTATGTTATTTAACTAAGCAATATTCATTTTAGTCCAACAAATCTCACATGCTACAACTTTAGGCCCACGTACAAAAAATCTAATCCTACATGAGAAGCATTATAAAAAAGGAATAAAAAGAAACTTACCCCATTTTTACTTTCAATTAGATGAAAATTATCTACTCCATCCTAAAGTAAAAAGATGAATTTGAAGAAAAAATAACGAGATTGAAGTAAAAAAAATCTAGAAAGAAAAAAAGAGTAAAACTTATAAAAAAATTATAATTTAATATAAATAAAATTTGAATGGTTAATTGTTTTATTTATAACATTTTTACATTAACTAAAAATATCAAATTTCACTTGCTACTCTTATATTTAATTAAACTTGGTTCTTAATTAATATATATAATATTAAATAATTTATTAATCTTATTATTAATATTAATTTTTATAAATTTGACTAAAATAATGTGATATATGATGATATTAAGTTGATAGAGTTAAAATGCATATTATTTTTATATTGTAGTAAAGAGATTACGAAAACTTAATTTGAATTAAAAATATCATATTGAATCAATTGATACTTAAATGTCAAAGTTGCTCACTTATACAACTTTATTTTTATTTTTTAAAATTTAAAATTAATCAATTTAATCGTTGAGTATAAATTAATTTATAAAGAACCAAATAAATAAAAAATAGTTGAATTTTCATTTTATTATTTTATTTTAATATATAATGTACTATTTAAAATACATATAAATGCTCTTTGATAAATAATATATCGACAATGTTCAATAATAATAATAATAATATATTTTGTTTTTTGACATTTGAATTATAAATTAATATATTCTTCACAAAATTACCAGGTGATGTAAATACATATATTTAACACTTCGTATCAACTTAATGACCATGCTATTCACGGAATAAAGACATATATTAATTGTAAAAATATATTAGTATAAAATTTATTTAACAAAATTTTTAATGAATCTTCATAATCGGTATCATATGGATATTCTAAACCTATTGCAATATTAAACGAATTGTCTATTTTATTTAATATTTGTGTGCATAGCAGGACTTCAACTAATAATTAAGAAAATATTATATTAACGACGGACAAATATAATGTAAGAATCGAGTTTTAAGAGTTTTTAAGCGAATGGAAAATAGAATTAAGTTTAGTTCAGTTTAAAATTATATAAATAAAAAAACTAGGAATTCCAATTTTAAATTTAGCATTTTCAAGATATTTATTTATAATTCTTTCTTTGATTTTTTTTTTAAATAACTTTTAACTTTTTATTAAAATGTGAGTTTTTTTTTTTAATATTAAAACACATCAACTAGAAGGTAAGGAAAAATAGAATCGTACCTCTCATTAGAATTTTGATTTTAGAAAATTCATTTTGCCCATATCTTTCTCCTTGTTTAAATCTGAAGGTTATGTCCTTAGTGAATTATTATGTTTGTCTACAAGCAAGTTAAAATATAACGTATTAAAGTTTTTTTTTTTTCGGATTGGTTGCACCTTTGGATACGATTATTTTATGTAAGAGAAGTAGTAATATTTAAGTTGGATTGAATAAGAGGATTTAGATAATTTAGATTATTTATATAAGGATTGAGATTTTAGTATCTTAATAGTAAATTTAATTTTGTTTAAAGAGAGTCAAGTTTGAAAGATTTATTTTTATGTAGAAAAATAGTTTAAATAAAAATTTTCTCCTTTCAAACTTTATTTTTATGAATCATCATCTCTTTAAATATAAGTGCATGTGTTATGTATATCAATATTTAATAATACGAGATGTAGTTTACAAACTGAAATATTAAACACTTTATTTATTAAATACTTATTATGTCTAGTTTATTTTTTTTAATATGAAAGTTGAAAATATTTTAAGATGTTTATATGAATGAAAATTTTTATCACTAACTTACCCTTATTTATGTGGTGTATTGATCTAAATTACGATGAATGTGTATGATTACACATAAACAAATGTCGTTTTAGGTGATAATCACAATATTTAGTAGTTTAGGGAGAGCAATGAAAATTTTATAATATTAAATTTTGAATATTTTGTTTAGAAAAACATGTATATAAATCTTTATATAATTGGATGATATCCTTTTGAAACACTTATACAGGTTATGTAAATCTTTAAAGTATTTATATTTTTTTGCATAATTTATTTTATGTCTTTTATGTCTTGAATTGATTTTTTTAATACGTGCTTAGAAGATTTATTGTGTATGACGCTTTGCATTATGTAAATTGAATGCTTTATTTTAATTTGAGTTCAATGAAGTATGAATGAGTCATTAAAATGATAGAAATTAATATTGATAGATAGGTCCTAATAATACATTTTGTATTATAAATTTATTGTATAATATGTGCTTTATTTTTTAATTCATTTTGTGAAGACCGTCTAAGTGAGTTAAGAGTAAAAATAAAATATTAAGAGTAAATTTTTAAAGCATCTATTGCTTGATACATCATTAATGTATTCATTAATATCTCAGCAAGAGTTGTCTTTACATTGATAGCAATAATTATCTTCATGAACATTAAGTTCACTCTATTAGAATATTTTTCAACCTTTATATTGAGTTTGTTGTTTATTGATGTTAGAGTCGATAATAGTAGTCGCATTATCTTTGCAAGATCAAGATCTATAACATTAAGGTGAAATTTGATTTGCTCATTTCGGTCTTAGAAGTTAAATCCATTAAAAATTAATAGATAAGATACATGAGAATTTATTAAGTTGGAAAATAAGGTACTAGATAACAATTTTTCACATAAGTATTAAGTCATTAAACACATATTATATTTATAATATTTAAACAATGATTAAAATATATTGATATTATCTTTTCAGTAATATATCTACACACAACATACAACATAACAATGTCAATAAAATTATAACATTAATTATGACTGGTAAGCTTTTATATATATAAACCAAACAATACATGCAGGTTCATGGGTAATGATGTGCACGAACATATTTTTATTTTGAAGCAAAATCCGTAAATTTTTATAATTAGGGTTTATAAAATTGGGTAAAACGTAATTTAGAAAAAAAATATTAAGACAATAATTACGTCATTTCATAACCTGACTGACACTACTACAAATAAAGCTTTCAACGTCGGTTTGAAAGTATGATTTTTTAAATTAATAATTTTTATTAATTTACAATAACTCTTTACCCCTTTTATTTATCTATCATTGGCAGGATTCCCCTCTCTTTATATTATATTTTTTAGAATTTTATTAATTTTTTAAGAGAATTGTCATTGGCAGGATTTAACCCAAGATCTTTAGAGTTGGAGGTTGATACTCCAACCACTAAACTACTAGAATTTTCTCGATAATAACTTACAAATAAATTATATTTATATACAAATAAATATATATTCGTGTAAATATATAAATATATAAATACAAATATATTTATATATTTTGATATATTTATATAGTTATATATTTATATGTTGGATGTGAGGGCACACTCGAAAATGAAAGTGTGTGTCGAGTGGGTTTTCAAAATTTGATGCTAAATTTGTGAGCAAGTATCTTTATATGAGTTTGTAATTTAATGACAGAATATAATCTTTATAATTTTATTTATATAATGATATGAAATAAATTTGGGAAACGCGTTATTTGCTCTCAAGCGAAAAATACCAATTTTCGCTCAAGCGAGACTTGAGTAAGTGAATTTCGTGAGCTTTAACATATTTTCACTCAAGCAAGAGTCAATCACACTTTCACCCTCGATCGAAAAATACCAATATAATTTATTTGTAAGTTATTATCAAAAAATTATAATAGTTTAGTGGTTGAGATATTAACTTTCAACCCTAAAATACTGGGTTCAAATGCTATCAGTGACAATTCATTAACTTAAGAGATTTTTTGCTTGAAAATAAAAATAAAAATACTTTCCAAAAAATATATATAAATAAATATATATTTACATGGATATATATTTATTTGTATATAAAAATAATTTATTTGTAAGTTAGCTTAGTGGTTGGAGTATCAGTCTCCAACTCTAAAGTACTGGGTTCGAATCTTGCTAATGACAATTTTCAAATTTAAGTGAGTTTTTGGGTGAAAAAAAAAAAAAGACTTCCAACGTCGGTTCATCTAGGAACCGACGTGGAAAGTACTTTCTACGTCGTCTCAGCTATAACCGACGTTAAATGACGACGTATAAAGTATTGATAGAAATAATTATCTTCATGAACATTAAGTTCAGTCTATTAGAATCTTTTTCAACCTTTATATTGAGTTTGTTGTTTATTGATGTTAGAGTCGATAATAGTAGTCGCATTATCTTCCAACACAGCAAGATCAAGATCCATAACATTAAGGTGAAATTTGATTTGCTCATTTCGGTCTTAGAAGTTAAATCCATTAAAAATTAATAGATAAGATACATGAGAATTTATTAAGTTGGAAAATAAGGTACTAGATAACAATTTTTCACATAATTATTAATTCATTAAACACATATTATATTTACAATATTTAAACAATGATTAAAATATATTGATATTATCTTTTCAGTAATATATCTACACACAACATACAACATAACAATGTCAATGGAAATTATAACATTAATTATGACTGGTTAGCTTTTATATATATAAACCAAACAATACATGCAGGTTCATGGGTAATGATGTGCACCAACATATTTTTATTTTGAAGCAAAATCCGTAAATTTTTATAATTAGAG